ACAGATTAATTTTGTCTACTCTAGAACTTTATATAAATAGAATCACACAGCATATACTCTTTTTTGTCTCACTTCTTTCACTCAGCACTATGCTTCTGAGATTCATCCATGTTGTTACATGTATCAGTAGTTCACTCTTTTTTATTGCTGAGTATATTCCATTGTATGAATATTTCAGTTTGTTTATCCATTCACCTGTTGATGGATATCTGGGTTGTTTCCTGTTTTAGCTATTATAAAGTTTCTATGAACATTCTTACACAAATAATTTTGTGGACATAGGGGATACAGGGGTAGAATTGCTGAATCATAAATTAAATGTATATTTAACTCTAGGAGAAACTGCCAAATAATTCTCCAAAGTAGTTTTACCATTTTTATACACCTAGCAGTAATGTATGAGAGTTCTAGTTGCTCCGTATCACCGCCAATATTTTTTATTTTATTAAACTAAATGTGTGTGTATGACATGGTATCTAAGTGTGGTTTTAATTTGCATTTTAAGATAATTTGAAGCTGACATCTGAAGGATGAGAAGTATACCAGAAGGATAGGGCATTGAGCATTGTGGAAAAAGAGAACAGCACGTGCAAAGGATCTGAGGAGAGAAGTAGAGTTGTTACAATGAACTGAAAGGGAGTGTGGCGTCGGGTGAGGCTGGTCAGGGTAGTAACTGAAGGTATTAAGTCATTCGCTTCCAAGGAATCATGTGGGTCTGGACAATGCATACACCAGCAGTGACTAGGATGAACCATAGAACAAACCCAGACCCCCCAAAAAAATAAATAAATAAAAGCAATAGTCTGGCTATATAAACCCCCTGGAATTTCATATTACCCTGGAAGTAGTGAGGGAGGCTCATAATGACCAAATTGAATTTCTCAGTAGAAAGGAGTTCAGAATGGATTAAATATGATTTAGAGAAATAAAAGATATGTAACCATCATGGTTGCAAATATATACTTACCACATATAAAAGAGTAGGATGGTCGGGTGGTGTTGAGTACTCATTTGAGGTTTGAGATCATGAATTTAAAATGTGGTCACTCAGCCTGTTTGTGTGATTTTTCTCTGGCAACGTTCAGCTGCTCAGGTACAGACATGGAACCTCATTTCAGACAGTAGTATTCAGTCAGGTTGTGTTTTCTCCAGGAAAGTATGTTGGAAATTTAGGTGGGCAAAAAAAATGATTATAATAATTTAATGATTATTAATGGTCTAAACTAGACCAGGAAGGACAGGAAGAATGGATAACAAGAAATTGGTGGGATTAATAGATTGGAGGTCTCAATGAGGTTGAAAAATATTGCAGATGGGGTGCTAGCACAAGGAAATGAAAGGATAGGAGGTGGTAAATGGAGAGTGAGGTACCATATTGTCATATTTCAAAGATGGAGTCCTTTTGAGATGATAAAAGTGTTGAGGGTGTAACCTTGGAAGTGGTAGAAGTCAAGGAGGATTGTTGGAGGTGAGAAGGTCCAGGGGTTGGGAGGGTATTGAATAAGTCACCAACATGGATATTGAATTCATCCACAGAGTTCAAGAATGGTGCTAGGAATTGGGAGGGGCAGGGAAAGATTAGAGTGACAGGGAGATCAGAAGAAGGCAACAATTAAGATGGGCACGGTGGTATATCTGAATAGCAAGAGCTTCAGAGGAGCAGGGATCTGTGCAGGAGGGTGGGGGAAAACCCTTAGGAAGTTCAAGGTCAACTCTCCTGACACTACGATCATTTTGACTGACATCCTTCCATTGGTCAAATGAACCACAGCAAACCAACCCAAATGAATCCTTTCAATTGGGGATGCTTTATTACAGACCTTCCTGCCAGGGGGCGCTATCAACATTAAAAAGCAGACCTCCAAGCAGTCCCACGAGGCCAGGAAAATGTCTCATCCTCAGCACGGAGGACCCCTAGGGCTCCTCTGCGGTATTGCAAGTTCAACTATCCTCCAGCGCAGCTGCACAGGTAAAGATTTGTCGGTAGCTGCGGTTCAGTGGGCCTACACTCATGGCGACTCAAGCACAACAGATGGAAATGCTGCCCAGTCCTGCGCCATCCCCATGATTGGCTGCAGATCGGACCACAGAGATTTTTAAGTGTATGTAAATATTAAAAGAAAAAAGTCCAAATTCCTTTATAAAGAAGTTTCTGTATTATTGGAAGGTTTTATTTAATCTTTTTTTTTTTTTTCAACAAAAGGGGACTAAAAGTACAGCTACTATAACATGAGGTTTGATAACACTTTCTCCATGGGTAAAAAAGCTTCCTCATAACTGCAGGCATTGAGAGTTGATTGGTAACACCTGTGCTTAAAAAGTTCTTCCCAAATAGTTTTTGGAAGATGCATGAGATAGTGGTAAGAACATAGGGCCGGGGTCAGAACTGTAACAGCCGTAGTAGTAACGGTATTTGTCATCATCGTCAACATTTGAGTGTTCTCTATGTGCCAGAAACTGTTCTAAACACTGTACATAAATTCACTAGTCTATTCCACTTATGGATCCCCGGTGGCGCAGTGGTTAAGAGCTCGGCTGCTAACCAAAAACAGTTCGAATCCACCAGCGGCTCCTTAGAAACCCTATGGGGGCAGTTCTACTCTGTCCAATAGAGTCACTATGAGTTGGAAACGACTCAATGGCAACGGGTTTGGTTTTTTGGTCATAATCCTATGAGGTAGATACTACCATTAGTCCCATTTGACAGATAAGTAAAATTAGGTCCAGAGAGATGAGGTCACTTGCCCAAGGTCACCCAGCCAGTAGATGGTGGTAGTAGTGGTATGTGTATGCAACTTGGGTTTCGTTTTTCCCCTAAACAGAATAGTACCGGTTATGCAATGGGAGCAAATATCGCTATATCCCAGCTTAACTCAACAAACCAAACCAAAAAACTAAATCTGTTGCCATTGAGTCGATTCTGACTCACAGCAACTCTACAGTAGTACCTGTTTAATGTGGGTTGGCAGGAGGGCTTGGCTCATCGTGCTAACTCAGGAACCCAGGCTGACATAAGCTTCATTTTGACCCATGCTTTCATCATCACATCGCTGATCACCATGTAGGCAAAAGAGCACTACAGTGTCTGCACTGGAAGTGAAACGCTTCCTCCTGAAAGTAATGCACGTCCCTTCTCACATTTCACTGACCACCACAAGTCACATGTAACTCCCAACTGCAACGGGGCAAAGAAATCTTATCATGAGCCTAGAAGGATGCAAACCAGACTATTTGCCACTCATGATTACCACAAACACTCTGTGACCCTGGGCAGGTCATGTCCTCTCTTGGCCTCAGTTTCCTTACCCACAAAATGAGCATAACAATCCCTGCTTTGCTCACCCCTCTACCTTTGTTATAAGGATCAAATAGGGATGCTTGCTATGGTCATTATGAGGCAGAATGGTTGCACCCAGCCAAAGCTTTCATCAGATAAAAATCTTGGTCCGGCCACTACCAGCCCTATAGTTGTCTTTACAGGGTTGTTTGTTTGGAATGGCCTTGTCCAAAGATATGTGTTGTCCTCTTTGACACTCATACATCTGGGGTCTTGAAGCATATAGTTTTCACTTAACCAACAACACACCATAATTGTTCTGGCCCTTGCTAGAAAGCTTATTCTAGAGTGGCCAGCTGTCTAGTTCCTGTTGAAAACTCGAGACCGCTTTGACTTGAGAGAGACTGCAGGGTCACAGCGAGCACCCCTTCCTCCGGGTTCCCAAGCTCCCTCTTTGAATCAAATCAGGTCATCACAACTGTTTACTTGGCCCCTAGCAGTTTCACTCCCCAGACACTCCCAAGATGCCTGCTTTGAGTCAGGGATGATCCAAGCCACAGAAACTCCTTTGCCAATCAAGGACTGACTGCGCTGAAAGTAGTACAAGAAATGCCCATATGAAGAGCTTTTCCCAAACTTCAGGGCAAACAGTAGCGACCGCTTGCCGATCAACCTCCACAGCGCTTTGCTGACTCCTTTCCTATGGGTGGTTTTGCTATGTGGTCATTTGCCCCTTCTTCACTCCTCTGATTGACTAGGTTGTGCACTCCGTGAGGGCGGGGCCCTCTTTTTATCTGGGTTCCACTACGTGCTTGGTACATGTCAATACATGTCCGTTGCATTAAAACGCTTCTAAAGAGTCTTCATATAAGTTAATGCATAACTACCTTAAAGAATTTAATGTTTATGGACGTGCAATTAGGCTAGTTGAACTTTTAGACCCCTCTAGGCCTTGGGATTCTAGGAACTAAAATAAAACCAACATAGAGGAGTGCGGGAGAAATGGGAAAGAGAAGGACAGAAAAGGAGGACATTTCAGGCAGAGGGAGCAGATATAGAGGCAGGAAAGCACAAGGTAACACCGGACACGGGGAACGCATCACTTTGCCTGGACGAGAAAAACACGAAATGAGAGAGAGAAGTTGGGCGAGATGCCAGCAGGAGGTCTGTGGTCAAAGTCCAGGGTGAAGACACAGCAGGACTTTGATAAGGGACCACGAACAGAAGGAGTAAAAGAGGCGGTGGTGTATCAAATTCTGTAGCCAAGAGCTCTAACAAATGGAAGACAGGATGTGGAGAAAATATATTGTGCTCCTAAAGCTACCTCTTATTTCGGGGCGCTCGGGTTTCGCAGGAAGGTAAACTAAACGCAAACTTCTCAGTTCCCCAGCGCCGAGATGGGGCGAGCCCCGCCCCGCTCGTCACGTGGCCAGAAAGCCAGTGGCACGTGACCTACCTAGCGCTAGGCCAATCAGCCTCTGTAGGGGCGGGAATGCGGAGTCCAAGGGCGGGAGCAGTAGTCGAGGCCGTCTCTTCTCGCGAGCCTTTCTGCTGTCGCTCATCAGCCGCCCACGGCTGGGCACGAAGGTCTCGCGACGCTTGGGTGCTGCGGCGGTTGGCGGAGGACGGGGAAGGACGGAGCCGAGCCGTGGTTGCTTCCCTCGCTCACTCCCTCGCGCGCTCGCCCGCCCCCTCCCTCCCTCCCCTCCCATCCCCGGCCCCGGCTCCGGCCCCGGCCCATTCGCTGTTCCGTCTGCTGCTAGGGAGGATGTCGGGCTCCTCGCTCCCCAGCGCCCTGGCCCTCTCGCTGTTGCTGGTCTCTGGCTCCCTCCTCCCAGGGCCTGGCGCCGCTCAGAACGGTAAGCGGGGAGCCGGGGGCGGGCCGGGCGGGGGCTGAGGGGGCGCCGGCAACTGTAGAGGGCCTTGTCCGGGGCCGGTGGAGGTGCCGGAGCCAGGCGAAGAGCCTGAGGGGCTGCGTCCGAGAGGAGATGCTGGTCGGGGTTTGAAGAGGCGCAGGTGTGAGGACAGGAGGCGCCTGTCGGAGAGGAGGGGGCGTCCGATAAGAACCCGAGGTGTTGGTGACTTAAAGCTTTTACATCGTGGGGCTTGTCGCGCCAGGTCGGAGAGGGGACACCGAAGAAGCCAGTGTGAGGAGCTGGAGTAGCGGGGGCGGGTGGGGAGGGGGCGCACCTTTTAAAGAAGGCGGGAGAAGACAGGCATTTGTGTTCACAGGCGCGGAGGGGGTGTCGTTTAGGCTACCCGAGAGAACTGGGGTCCCGGGAGCTGGGGTCGCCGAGAATTCTACTGGCGCCCGTAAGACTGGTGACAGAATTAAAAATAAGGGAGGGTGAGCAGAGTACTAGAGCCCTAAGGAGGGGGTAAAGAATCAGGGGACCTTGGATATGAGGTGGAGGGAAGGTGGGTGGAAAGCTAAGGGAGTGGGTTGACTGCAGCAGAGGACCTGGAAAGAGAAGAGGCAGTGGCTGTAAACGAGATGGGGGGTGGGGAGAGGGCTGGATTTGCTAAGAAGGGTGGAGTGCTGGGCTTTCTAGGGTAGTGGTTGGAAGAGCTAAAAGGGGTTTCTAAATAAGGAGAGGAAAAATGAGCAGAGGTAGGGGAGAAAGGGTTGAAACTAAAGTAGGGGGAATATTTAGTAGAGACGTAAAGGTGCCTGGGTATAGAGATGGGGGTGGGAGAAGACACAAAATAAGCGAAGGGAGTAAAATGCAGGAAGCCGGGGGTGTATTGTTGGTTTGCAGTGTGGAGGGTATATTAGGGAAGGGAGGAACTGGATTGTGGCAAGTGCGGTACGATATTGGTTGGGCCTTTGGGAAGGCAGGGACACAGAGCTGGAACTGCAGTGGTGGGATTGAGAGCAATGACTGGTGAGAGGGAGGTGGAGGAAGTGGGTTTTTGAGATCCAAAAAGTTTCGAGACAGAAGACACATTATTTTTGAGGAGCATAAAAGTAGGCCCTTTGATGTGTCCAGTGGAAAAGAGAGAATTGGGTTTTGAAATGTGCCTCTTTGGAGAAGATGGAAAAATGATGGGGAATCGTGGTGATGGAGGACCTAGGGAAAACAGATTCTGATTGAAGGCATGTATTACCGTTCAACTGCTTCATTCTTTCACAGGTGAGACTAGACAGCCATTAAGAGGTTTAAAACATATTTTTATAAGGAAGAATATATGAGAAGTCAGTTCTGGAGAGTGAACCATAATTATTATCTTTACACATACTGTTTTATGACATTGGTTAACAACCCCACAACATGTCAACCCTCTCCCTTCTCGACTTTTTTTTTTTTTTTTTGGTGAAAATATATGTAGCCAAAGATACACCATTTCAAAAATTTCTACATGTACAGTTCAGTGACATCGACTATGCTCTTCCAGTTGTGCTGCTATTCTCACTTTAGATGAAGGCTTACAGAACAAAATAGTTTTTCATTTAACAGTTAGTACACATGTTGCCATATAACAATGGTTAACCTCACAACACATGAACATTATCCTTACTCAACCTTGGGTTCTCTATCACCAGCTTTCCTGTCCCCTTCTGCCTTTTGGCCATTGTCCTGGACTGCTGTGCCTCATTAGTCCCATTTGGTTTTATGGGGCTGTCCACTCCCAGGCTGAACGGTGAACCTCGAAAATGACTTCACCACTGAGCTAAAAGGGTGTCTGGGGGCCATACTCTTGGGGTTTCTCCAGTCTCCTTTAGGCCAGTAAATCTGGTCTTTTTTTGTGAGTTAGAGTTTTGTTCTACATCCTTCTCCAGCTCTGTCCAGAACCCTCTGTTGTGATCCTGGTCAGAGCAATCAGTGGTGGTAGCCAAGCACCATCTAACTGTACTGGACTCAGTCTGGTGGAGGCCTTGGTAGCTGTGGTCCATTAGTCCTTCGGACTAATCTTTTCCTTGTATCCTGTTCTCTTCCTTCTCCCTTGCTCTGGAAGGGATGAGACCAGTGGAGTATCTTAGATGGCTGCTCACAGGCTTTTAAGATGAACCATGATTATTTTTGCTAATCCTTTGATGTTTTTTCATTGTTGTGTTAGAACAATTTAAAGTTACTCTTTCAGAATAGCTGAAATTTAAATGACTTTTTTTTTTTTTTTAAATCAATGATAGAGCCAGTGGAGTTGAACATTCTAAGGAGAAACTGGGCTTAAAATGCTGAAGAGTACAGTGAAAATATATCAATAAGGAATTGACAAGGCATCATTGGTTAAATGTAAAAGTGTTCATTTTACCAAATAGAACTAATCAAATATTATGTATGCTTCATGGCCTTGGATTATCACAGCAGGGGTCAGGAAAGAAACATTTTTCTGTCTGTGAACTTGACTATGCTAAGTATATGGGATATTTTTCCTGCTTTCTTTCAAAGCACAAAGCTGTTGTGGAGGCAGGGCAGGGTTAGTCTGATTTGTCTTATTATTTTTCACCTGTGATAACAATATGACTTAAAGAAGCCTAATACTAATTCAGCTATTTGATTTGTGAAATATCATGGTTTTGTTTTGCACGATGGGTGGGAGATTCTTGATTTTAACATGTTTAATCTCTGCCGGCATAGCTTCTTTCAGTGATTTATAATACGATGAAATTGTAGTTTCTTAGCAACTGAAGTAAGGTTGTTGGATAGGCCTAGAAAAACTCTTCTGGCTGTTCTCAGTGATATGGATTCTAAATACAGCATAGAACATACAGCCTTTTCCTTGAAATGAGCTTAAATTCAGTCACGTGACATGACCAGTGAAGTGAAGCTGAGCTGGTAGTTGACCCAAAAGAATGTAAATTTAATTCAAGGAAGAAATGGCTATTTTTTGAGTTTGGGTTCATATGTTCATATAGATAAGGATGCCATTTTATAGCTTTCTATAACATGTTTTGTGGTAAGATTCAAGCTTTCAACTGGTAATAGTCTGATCTCATGTCATAGAGTTTGTATTTTTTGACTGTGCTTCAAAAATGGATACCATGTTCTGTATGATGTTGAAATGTTAGAAATTTTAGGTTATCTATATAAAATGATGACTTGAAAAAGAACTTAGGTGTTTCTGGATTGGCTATTTGGTAGTTTAGATTGAATATAGACCCCCCCCCCCGCCCCGCGCCAAAAGCTTCGGTTTCATTATTCCTAAAATGAAGAATTTGGACTAGATCACCTTCAGGGTGTCCCTGAGTACATTTTAGACGTATATTTGCTATTGATTGTACATCTCTTTGGGTAACTGAAACGAGCAATAGAAGACAAAATTCTGAGTCTGTGACCCATTACCATAGAGATTCAGGGCTTTGATTCATAAAGGTTTTGTTTCCCATCCAAATAATTTAGACTTGTAGGACCACAGTTTCAAGTAAAATCCTTACTTAAGTTAATTTTTGTGTGTATCAACAAAAGTGTACTTCATTTTAAAGGATGAAACTTGCTTAAAAAATAACCTTCCTAAGACAACTTTTAGCTTTAGACTAAAAAGGAGTGTAAGCCAAGCAGTATAATACGGTGATCAAAAGCACAGGCTTTGGGTCTCTGTGTTTGAGTCCCAACTCCTCTACTCGGTAGCTGAATGACTTTGTGTGAGGCATTTACTCAAGACTCAGTTTCCTCATTTGTAAAATGGAGTTTATAGTGATTTTAATACCCTAGGGATGATGTGAGGATTAAATGAGACAGTAGCCGTAAAGCACTTAGATTTCTGCTTGGCATGTAGTGAATCTCAGTAAATGTTAGCTATTACTGTTATTTTTCCTTTGAAAAGTGACATTATTATATATTTCTTTTCATATATATATTGCACACTTAATTGTTAACACTGGTCACCATCACCTTGAATAAAGGTAAATAGGCCATTTGGAGTCCAGCACAGAGAGATTTGTGCTTTTGCTTATGTAATTTTTTTAGGAAAGTGACCAGCTGCACTGCTGGTAACTGCAAATTCTGGTGAGGAAGTTCACATTTCCATTTCATTGTCTGTGAGCTTTCATGACTGTCTGGTGAACCAAATACCTTTTCATATGGGCCAGATATCATCTTTTCATAGAATACCATTGTCGTAAGAGAAATTGAATGTAGCGCCTGGCACACAGTGGGACTGTTACAGATGTTAGCTGAATGAAGGAATGTGGAGTGAAGTGTAAAAACATGGTGATATATTCATACTGGAAATACAAAGTTGGATAATTAACACTGTTCAGTAGGGGAAAATAGGAGTCTAATGAATTTATTATTAACAAACTAAATTTTTTTTTATTGTAGTTTAAGTGAAGGTTTACAGTTCAAGTCAGTTTCTCATACAGAAATTTATACACACATTGCTATGTGACCCTAGCTGCTCTCCCTGTAATGTAACAGCACACTCCTCCCTTCCACCCCACATTTCCTGTGTCCATTCAACCAGCTCCTCTTGTTTTTGCTTTCTCATCTTGCCTCCGGACAGGAGCTGCCCATTTAGTCTCATGTATCTACTTGAGCTAAGAAGCACACTCTTTATGAGAATCGTTGCATGTCCCTTAGTCCAGTCTAATCTTCGTCTGAAGAGTTGGCTTTGGGAATGGTTTCAGTTCTGGGCTAACAGAGAGTCTGGGGGCCATGTCTTCTGGGGTCCCTCCAGTCTCAGTCAGACCATTAAGTCTGGTCCTTTTACTAGAATTTAAGTTCTGTACCCCACTTTTCTCCTGCTCTGTCAGGGACTGTCATTTGTGTTCCCTGTCAGGGCAGTCATTGGTGGTAGCTGGGCACCATCTGGTTCTTCTGATCTCAGGCCGATGAAGTCTCTGGTTTATATGGCCCTTTCTGTCTCTTGGACTAGTACTTTCCTTGTGTCTTTGGTGTTCTTCATTCTCCTTTGCCCC